AATCATTGTCAATTTGATTGGAAGCCAAGACCTATAAGCCACTGAGCTAATTAGATCCTGAAGCAGCCAATTAAGAGTCAGGTTTGTTGCTTTTAACACTTCTGCCATTCTCCACTGAAGGGAGGAGTGGGTGTGTCAATATTAAGGGAGATATTGTCAATATTTTGAGAAAAATGGAGTTCAAATGTACATATATTGTCCTACTTGTTGTTTTCAATATTATTATCCATTTATACTTTTATTTAAAAGTCACTGAATACTTTCTATACACAAAATGCTTTGAAAAAAATCAAAGAGGTCTGAGGCACATCCTTTCTTTCCTGGAACTTATGGCTCAGTAGAAGAGCCAGCTCTGTGGATCACCCTGAAAACCTGGAGTTGTATAGCAAAATGGTTAACATCTTAAGTATCACCTGGTCAGGTTCACAGATGTATTCTCCAGAGTCACAGAACTCTTTTAATTTTGTAGTTTTCATATTGATAATAATCTAAAATGTATTTTATTGGTTATAAAGAAAAAAAATCCCTTTGTTTGCAGTAATCACTTAAAATTGATAGAAATTGTTTGGTGTGGGAGTTTTCAGTTCCTGAAGTTGATGTTAATTAAACTGGAGACAAGGAGACTCAAAGGGCCACAGATACATTTTTAAGAATTTATGAGACTTTTCTTTTACTTAAAATTTGTCCTTAGAACACCCAATTTGAGAAAGTACTGTGGTATCTCAGTTCAAAACATTAATTTGTTCTATGATTTTGGAAAAGATGGTCACGTTTCTGTTTTTGTGGGAAAGTTGACTGTGGTTGTGCTTGTCACCAGATTCACAGTTTGCAAACAAAAATAAAAATTTCCCGAACACTTCTGTTTGCAAACTAAATTGTTTGCAAACAAGAGCATTCTGTGAACTGAGATACGACTATAACTGATTCCAATGGGTCAGTATCACAGATAAGAAAAGCAAGGCCTCAGAAAGGTAAGAAATAAAATTCCTACCCTATTTAGCATTCCTTATGTTGATTAGAGTTTATAGTTTTCAAGATCCTTTTGCATTATCTCACTGCTTTCTTATAAATATTCATGAACCATGGTAGACAGTATTAGTGTTCTTGTCATAAAGATGAAGAATTTGAGGTTTGTTGCTATTAAGTAATTTGCCCATGTTCAAATGTTAATAGTGAAGTTGGTATGAGAACTGATTCTTAGTCCATAGCTCATCCCACAGTCCCCACCTGCTTAAATTTTTGACAACAGATGTAACCGGTTGAAATCCACAACTCCTGTTCCAAGAGTGTGCTTTGATTTTATTTTACCAATTACAGTACACAAAAATTATTCATTTGGTCATACTCATCAAATGATATCTTACTGATTTCCTCTGCTTACCTGTGGTGGTTCTACAATGTCTATAAATTTTTTGATTGTACCTATTAAAGAGGTTTAGGTATCCTCGCCTTGAATCTTTCTGATCAATTGTGTGTGGAAGGTAATGCCCCTTCCACCTGGTCCTTGTGGGATACTCTTTCTTGGAACTCAGCCACCAAGCTGTGTGGAAGCCATTGTCACATAGAAAGGCCATGTGTAGCTGCTCAGCTGACACCTCCAATTAAGTCCGAGCCCACAGCCATCATCGATTCTAGACTTAGCAGTGAGAAAGCTACTGCCATGACTCCAGCCCGAGCAGCCATTAAATTATGAACACATGAGAGAGGCTGTGTGGGAACTGTCTACCTGAGCCTAGAACTTTTAAGGGACAATAATGACACAATTTTAAGCAACTAAGTTTTGGGGTGATTTGCAGCAGTAGGGATTGGAATACTGGAGGAATACCTTGAATGGGGTGTTTTTATCCATATTTCTTCTGCAAGGCATGATTTGGGATCCATTTGCTCATTATCCAGTTGAATAAAACCTTGTACAAAAGCAATTTCCTAATATGGCTCTTTGGATATGAAATGTAAACATTTGTCTTCATGGGACAAATAGGCTTGAGACGGTATTAAACTCTCTAGAGACACATTTTTATGTTTTCTTCTCTGTGATGTGATATGATGTTACAGAGTGTGTGGGGGGATCTTGTATACTTATGGATTTTCCCATTGATTCTCTCATGTTATTTCCATTGTACATTATTTTCCCAGATAAATGATTATGAAGTATTTGAAATAGCCATGCTTTTACTAAGTGCTAAATTTTTTTCACTCTAGCTTTATCATCAGAAATAGGGGTTCTAAGAGGTTCACTATCTCATGATGCCTCAGCTGTGGCACTAAGAAATGCTCTAAAGCTCCTACTCCCCATTTCATTATCCCCAGCCAACAGCTACTCTTTCTTTCTGGATCTGGTTCAAATTGGAGCTTCAGAATGGAATGATCTGGCAAAAGTCTGACACTAAGTACTTTTGTTCCATCACTTTGCATGAAGTATTCCTTTACCTGACGAAGTGCAGGTTCACTTAATGCCAAAAGCTTATCATCTGTTCCAGAGGTTACCAAACTCAGCTCTGCACCAAACCTCAGAGAAAATTCAGAAGGCAGAGGGCTTCAATCCAGGCTTTTCATTCCTGGGCAAGGAACATTTAATAATTTTTATAGATTTTTCTACTTAGCAATATTACTTTAATTCCATAACAACACCACAAGGGAGGTTGTATACTTAGCACCATTCACAAATGAGGAGAGACATTAAAGGCATTTCTAAGGTCACAGAACTAGGAAGCTTGGATGGGGCAAGAACACTGAGTAGCCAAAGATGTTAAGACTTCTAAATTGAATGCTATAGAGCAAATGAGACAAAGATTATGAAGCCAAGAAGACTTGAATGGTGGAAAATGCCAACCAGCCATGAGAAATAGAAGGAATAGGGTGGGGTCTTAAAATGGGGCAGCTGGAAACATGTGAAGCCTATATCCTCCAACTTTCTCCTAACCACCATGTATCACCATATTGAGTCATCTCTGAAAACTGACAACAACTGGCCAGAATGAGCATATTGTATGGTGGGGAAAACCACTAAATAAACACAATTCTTTCATAATGAGTGACTCCCAGTTGCTTATGGGCCCCTGGTTTCTCTTTCTACTGAGCTCCAGGCTTTCAGTAGCATTGATGAATGCTCCCTATATAGGAGACAAAGGCTTTCACAAATGCCCTTCCTGCTAAAACTTCAGGTGGGGCATGCTGATTTGATCCTCAGCTCAATTCAAAAAGCTTGTCAGAAAAGCTTTGCCAGCCAATGGCAGTTTTCCTGACAAGCTCCAGCACTTTTCAAATCATTAAGAAGATACTCAGGTAGGCTTTGTGAGGGTAGGACGGAGCAGAGAGGGGGCTTCCTGTAGAGATTTAGTGTGGAAGGTGGCCTAGAGCAGTAAGAAAGCTCTGACCTAGGAGTAAAAAACAGTAGGAAACTCTACACTGGCCACTTCTTGATTTTCCAGATAAATAGCCACAGAACTAGTGAGAGGGCTTGGGTCTCACAACCTAGCCAGGGATATTTCTCCTTTCAGTCTCATCTTGTAAAAAGATTCTCTTGCTTTGCATACATACAAAAACAGGGAAACAAAGCAATTGCATTTTGGAAAAGCAATGTAAAACAATTCTTAAACTGAAGAAATTAATTTCTATCAACAAAATTAAGTTTCTGTCTGCTGGCCTATGAATGCACCTTGAGAAAATAGCTGGATGGATTGTCATTGTTCTGAGGCTAAGTTCAGGGTAGTCTGATTTACAACTAACTACAAAGCATATACCAGATTATTCAGCAAACGGGTAAGAAGTCATCTTCTAGAGAATTTGCAGCCTTTGATTTGCAATCAGGCTGCCTCTCACAGCAGGAATAACATGTAGCGAAGTTCCATGGTGAACAGACAAGGACTCATTTATTTAATTGCATTAATAAATCCTAAGCAAACCTTAGGGAAGCCAGCCATTCACAGATGGTAGAATGTCAGCCACTGGGGTGGGAAGGAGGCTGGTTCTGAGAAAGGCTTCCTAGTAGACCCCAAACCACAGAAAATGAGCAACTTCTTGACCTCATCTGGTGCCCCAGATTCCTCATTTTTCCTTCTATAGTCATTGGGTTTCAACAGGAAAAAACCAAATAGAATTAGGATGCTTACAAGACACTCCAACACATGCCACTTTGGGGTGGGAGGAAGGGAGTCTGGGAGAGAAACGAAGAAAGGTCAGATTCCATTGTGGCTGCTCCAAGGGGGACCCAGTGTTCAAGGCCTCACAGGAAGCTTAAGAGCACAGGGTCCTCAGTCTGAATCCCAGCCCCATGGACTCTGGGAGGGCAGCCCTGGGGCTAACTGGCTGGTAGTGAGCTAGAGAGTCAGTGAAAGCACTGTGCTTTCCTCTCTGACCCCTGCTCCAGGTAAATGTGTGTATTTAACTAAAACCACAACCACAAAGGCCCTTGAAATTTTCCTGGAAGCCAATTAAAACAAGGAGAGTCACAGTAGTAGATAAAATTAAACTATGTACCAATTCTCTTAGGCTTACAAGTCCCTGAGTTGTTTGTTTACACACTAAGAGGGAAAAAAAGGCTACAGTCTTTCCTCTTAATTGCTGTAATTATATTTGTGCCACCCACAAGAGAGGAGGTTGATCTCATTTCTAAGGGATAACTGCTGTAGCTTCACTCTTTTTTAGTGTTTTACAGGGTTTCTTGTCATTTTCTGATTAGCACTGGCCCATTGAGCTGCCAATAGAAATTTATCCCCCCCCCCGCCCCCCGGGCTGCTGCTGTGTAGTTAGCAGAAAGAACTGACTTCCTCAGGATCAAAAGAGATTGCAATTTCTGTGATCGATTGTATGTGGTTAGGCATTCTCAGAATATCCTGAATGTGGAAGTACTCAAAAGCCCATAATCTGGATAATAGTGGTCTGTGCTGACTATATCCCTTAGGAAAGGCTCTGGAAACCTGGGTCAAAAAACTTACACACTCTTGTCTGGCTAACATGCATTCAATGCTGAATTGGGCCGGGTGTTTCCTTTGGGTTACCTGATACATACCAATTTGAAGTATCATTGTAGCCGTCTCTCCTTATCCCTGAACGTCCGGCTTGAATCCTTTCCTTGTTTAATCGTGAAGGAATGCGATTCCAAAGACTTGGGGTCAGAAGGGCACAATAAATCAATCCAGACACACCCCTAATGAATGGCAAATTAAACAGCATTTGTTTTAAGTTCATAGGTCCTTTTGGAAGATGCCTTTTAGTGCAAGCAACATTCCTGGGTCTCAGGTATGGAGGTCTATGGGGGTGGGATGTGCAGGGCTTGCAGTCTCTGGGTCTTTTAAACCACAGTTTTAAAAAGTACCAAAAATATCTCCAAAGTTAGTTTTCCCAGGTAACTTCGAATGTTCTGTGCTTTCTGTAGTCCCTAACCTGGGACAGAATTTTCTGTTTTCTGTGGACTCTGGGGTGACCCAGGCCCTTGGTTCAGTATCGCCCTTAGCTTATTCACCTGGTTCTAGGGGGCTGGATAGGTGTTTCTGAGAACCTGCCATTCTCAGGGGTGCAAAGATTGAGCTGAAACAAATCTTCCAGTCACATACAATTCTGGAATAATCATGGAGACACAGCCTGTGGCGTTGAGAAGATTAAATCACCAAGGCCAGCTGTGTTCCTCCCCATTCCCACCCAGGGACTGAAATAAACTTCTTAGAGCTGCGTCAGAAAGCATAGAATAGCTTTTAGTCTTCCATGACCTCTAAGCATTTTGGTAATAAATAATAAAAGATATATATTACATGTTACAGACACATTGTGGAATTCAAATGCTGTTAACTTTCTTTCTCAAATGTTAAAAAGAAAGAAAAGAAGTATTAGAATTGGGGAGGGAAGACAGCAGGAGCAGTGGCTTTAAAACATGAGGAATGTGGTAAAAGAGCCTTATGTGCTTTTTATAGTCCTAGAATGGGGGGAGGGAAGGGAAAAACACAGGCAGGAAGTCAGAGGATTAAGGTTCCAGGCCTGGCATGCCACTGTCTGGCTGTGTTACCTGGGACAGGAGTAGTACTCTTGCTTGGTCTTGGCTTCCCATTTATCTCATAAAGTGAGGGATAGCCTTGTATTTTATCAGCAATTCCTTCAGTACTCCGGGCCAGGCTTCCCTGAAATTCAGAGACACTTTTCTGTACCATGCTTCTTTTCACTCCAAAGGATCCAGGCTCAGTATGGGAGATAACAGGAGACAGAGAAACTCCTCTGTGATCACTTGACTCAGTGCTTCAGACAGCAAAGTCCTCTCTACACTGACAGGGAGTCCCCACAATACTGCAGGAAACATCTGACAGCAGAGGAGGAAAGTCGTTCAAGCATAGATTCTAGAGTGGATCCTCAAGCAGGGGTCTAGGCCTGAGTTATCTGTTATCGACTGTGGGCACCTGGGCAAGATTTTTAACTTCTTTGAACAACCAAGTCCCCTCTGTGTTTGTTTTTTTCAGGGGGATAGTACTGAGACAAGGTCTTGCTATGTAGTTCAGGCTAGCCTTGAACTCACTATGTATCCCAGGCTCACCTCCAACTCATGGTGATCTTCTTGTCTCAGCCTGGGATTATAGGGATGCACCACCATGCCCAGATTTCCCATTCAGGAAATGGGGTCAGTAAGGATGTTTTGAGTAGTCAGTCTGAAAGTCAGCTACAGGGACTAGCATAGCACTTGACATGTAAACTCACACCTAATGGTAGCCAAAGTATCAACCACGGTTATAAGACTATTTCCCAGGCCCTGGTTTCCTTATATCAGCAACCAAGGGTACATGGCTGGGAGCAGGAGAGCAGAGTGTACCACTTGGGATGCAGGAGCTTCTGTCAAGGATACATTAGCTGCTCTGGGTGCTGGCTGCAGAGGTACTGGAGCAAATCTTAGGATCCATACCCAAATTCAAGGAGGACTGGAGGGCCTGCAGGAAATAGAAATGAGAGATGCTGTTGGAAATGGATGTTGATTTTTCATTCATTCATTCTTTCATTCAGCACTGAGGACCTACTGCTGTTATAGTTTGAGATTATTTGCCATGTGTCTGACAGACTCATGCTGGGTACTCAGCAAGATTGCAGAGATGAATGTCTCCATCCCTGCCCTCAAGGAATTCACAGTCTTCAATGCCACACATAATCTGGTGGTGACAATAGAAGGCCGCATGTCAGGAGAGGAGACAGTAAGAACATGGAGCATGACAGGTAGGGTAAGTGTTCTGATTTGCCTGAGATTGTCCTGATTTCAGGACTAAAAGTCCTACTTCCCACAAAGCCATTGATTCTGAGGCAAACCAGGATGGTTGGTCATCCTAGTGGGAAGGGCCAGAGGGATAACACCTGTCCTAATTTTGTCAAGTCAAAGAGGGATCTGACATTGAGAAGAAACCAGTGGAGACTAATTCCTAGAAAGGTCCCTTTCACCTATGTGATCCTAAACCAAGAATCCACACCATTGAGCTGTCACCAGGAAAACATTCCTTCTATGTACAAGATAAATGACCTATACCTTGCCTATCTCTTTCAACTGCCATCACACAATGATGTATCCATCTCAAAGTTGGCCAGAATGGAAATCTTTCTGGGTCACCACCAGTTGGCTGAGGCATCACGGAGACACGAATTTACTTTGTTTTTCTAAATGAGAAAAATCCCTCTCCTGGTGAGGCATTACACATTTTTTCATACCTAGGAGGGCCCAGAGACCAGGCTCTTTCATTTTGTTTTTCCATTACCCGCTAAATGTTAGCCCTGTTGGAATGCTCATTGTTTTAACTTGTTTCTTTCCTTTGCAGAGTCTATTCTGTAAATATGTACAGTATTAAATCAAGAAGATACTTGTTTAGCTTTTTAGTACTTCTTTCTCAAAGTAAATTACTTTGGGAAAGGTGACTTCTGGATTGCTAATCCCTTGAGTATGTATTTCATCTTCTAAAATTGGACTGGTAAAAACCAATTTACTGTTTTTATAAAGCCTCTCACAGTAAAGAAACGAACATAGAAACATAAAGACACGAGGAAAAAAGAATCTTGACATCACTTAATAAAGCTTTATGAGTAAGTCCTTTACTACCACAGATAATGTTGCTAATGCATTTTACTCAATGAAAGAAAATGTCCCAGGCTACACTTTACAACAGGCAGAAAACTGAGCTGTCTTGCCAGTGCTTTATACTAAGTGCCAAATCCTTATTATTTTCTTAGGCATTTATTGTAATAACATGAATCATGATGCATCACTCTGGTATTCGTGTGGCTGCTCAGTGTTAAGTCCCAGGACCTCCGTGGAGTTGACTTTATTTGGTTTTCCACTTCCGTTTCTGAGTGAGAGCCACATGAACTCAGACGTGAAGGCTTACAGGAGCCCAAGTGGGCGGCCCTTTCTGATGCTGTTTTGGTCTGCTTGTGCTTGATGGTTGTGGTATGTGCAGACCTGAAGATTTCAGGGGACACTCATTTGGAACTACCTCATTTCTTCCAGTTTCCACTGCAACAAGAGACGTGGGATAAAATACAGAATTATTCAGACAGTTGCAAACCTCTGGGGCACTTGAAGAAATGTGGCTAGTATATTTGAACATTGATGTATGTTTTTTAACTTTCCATATATAATCTGAGAGTTGGACCAGCTGTTAAATCCTGGAGGTAAGGGGTCTCCTAGAGACAATTACTATCCCGAAAACCACCTAGGGGTCAGCATCAGGTTTTGACTTGATGAAAAGTATGGATGAATGGCCTCTCCATATGAAGGTTCACAACCTGTTTCAAAGCCTTAATATAATGCTGTGTTCTTCTCCAACTTTGTGACTGTTTAGGTGGTACAATTTATTTACCCTGAAAGTCTTAAATATTCTAGCAAATCACCTGAGCTGATATTGAAAATATTTAACACAGGCAAAAATGAAGACTAATGAATGTTGATGGAAACTGAAGGATAATGGCTGTGAACAGCAATGTGGTCCTACTGTGTGTCTCAACTGAGTATCAGTCCAGCAGAGCACCAACCACTTACAGTGACTGTGGCAAAGACACTGAAATTGGTCATTGATGTGTTGTGATTTTTTCCAATAAATATTGCATGCTTACTGTGTTTCAGTCACTTTGCTAGGTACTGGGGGTAAAAAGCTGAACAAAATTAGACATGTTCTATCCTCCTGGAGCCAGCATTTTGGGCTAAGAGATAGACATTGATCAAGTAATTACATAAAAAGACATAAAACATCAATCCTGCCAAGAAATCACTCAGCTTGGCATAATGGGGATGTTATGATTGAGCCAAAATCTGAAAGATGAGAAGTAATTAGGCTACAACTACCAGAGGATAGAGTGCTTCAGGCAGAGGAAATAGCAGTATATAAAGTTCGGTAATTTTCCTGGTTGCACAGTTAACTAGTAGAGTCAGATATGGATATAGGCATCCAGCTGAGCTTCTTTATTAGTCCTGTGCAACAGAACTTTATGTAATGGTAGAAATGTTCGATAGTTGTGCTACTGAATATGACCATTACTTGTGGCAATTGAATTCTTAAATTATGCTTAGTGTGACTGAGGAACTGAAGTTTAATTTTAATTAATTCAAATCTAAATAGCCAAATATGGCTACATATTAGAAAGTCTAGATCTATATAAACCTAGTCCTAAACTAGCCCAGGTTACTTGGGGCAGAGGGCTATTAAAGATGGAGAGGAAATACTGTTTTTCTGAGACTTCATTCATTCTGTTTTTGAAATCACTTAAAACCAGAAGTCTGTTAAATGCCTACTGCAAGCCAGGTACTAGGCTAGATCTGGAGATGCCCTGATTAACAAACTAAGCTCCTGCTCTTGTGGCATTTAAAGTCTAATAGAGTGAACAGACACATAGCAGTGATAGCAATACAATGTGTTTGGTTTGACAGGATCACTTAGGGTTTCTTCCAATGGGAAGAATCGAATGATCATTCTTCCCTAATCCAACTCTGACTATGCTCAGAAGCACAGCTAAATTATGATTTCTAAATTCTAACTGCTCCATATCCCAAGGGCTTCAAATAAAGGGAGATGGAATTAACATAAAACATCACACATTTTTTAAAAACCCTAAATTCAGAATATCAGTATTGGAAAAAGAGGTGGATTTGCATTTCCATCAACTTTGGCTCTTCCTATGTAGGCATGTAATGCTGAATTTGCAGAAGGTAGGCCCCATTGATTCATATTTTTCATAATTAGAATGTGGACGTCTACTCAGAGATCAGGTACTTGATACTGAATTTTGTCAGAGCCAAGCTGGATTTTTATGGGACTTTCAAGCACTGAGTTTTGCTTCTCACCCCAGCTAAAGAAGGAGCTAATCACTTTTGCATATTTTTAAAAGCACTTTCTCACAAGCAATACTGCTCAAACACTTCACCATTTAAACCTCCCTGCTATTGCATACAGAATGCCAACAGTTATTACATCATTGTAAAAAACACTTCCTGATACTCAATTAAACTCATTATGCCTAAATATTCAATTCCTGCCAATACCCAATTTAAATCGTTACTTTAAAATAATTTGTTTCCGATAATCAGGACCTACTAAATTACCTCCTCAAACAGATCACCTGGAAAAACATTACATGCCAGGAAGAATAAAGAGACTTTTCTCCCTGTAATCCCAGGACACCTCCCCAAGGGGCTTCTCTTTAAGGCACGTAAGTTTTCCTATGGGTCCTGGCTCATAGCTTGTCTCTCCATCATGGAGAACCAAAGAGCCAAGAACTCAAACGATGTGCCCCATTGAGCTAGTCATTAACAACTATGAGTGCTTAGCTGAATTAGCTGGAACGGAGGGTGCTATCTTAAAAGGTACAGAAACAGAAGCTCCCTGTAAATACACTGTATGACAGCCATCAAGGACTGGAAACGCCTATTTAAAAAAAATCTTAGGGGATTCAGAAATGACTAGTTAACAAACTAGAAATACTATCTTTGTCAATTAACATAGTTTATATTATTAAATTTATTACCTATTTTTCAGAGTCTGAAATTTATCAATGTCTCTCTCTTGCTTTCTAGAATTAGACAAGAATCCTTGGACTTCTTAATTTCAAAGTTACCCTTCCTCTCTTATATTTTTGCTGACAGGATATTGTATCTTTACTGTCAATGTTTATCTAAATTCTCAGTGTATTTAACTTGTGTGTTTGCCAATGTTTCTTATACCTCATTCTTACCTTTTGGTTGGTTCTGTTTAAAGTGCAAAGGATGATCCAAATATGCAGTGAATGTTTAATTTTTAAAAATTAAAACAAAAAAAGGCACCTCACCATTAATCCTCCTCAAAATACTCCCCCTCACTTAGAACACACTTATCCCATCATTCTCGTCACTTTCTGAAGCAGTTCTGAAAGTCTTTCATGTCTTTGTTTGTGCTGTTATGGCTCCCCTGCTGTTCTAAATCAATTCAAAATGTTTATGGTCATTTTGACTCTGAGGAAGAACCAGAAGTCACATGGTGCCAGATCCAGTGAATAAGTTGGATGAGGATACACTATGGTGTTTTTATGAGCCTGCCTTTCCACTGGATGGGACTTGGCAGCAGCATTCACCATATTTTTGATCACACCTCATAAAGACACTCATGAAAGAGGACTTCCAAACTGCTTCAGAAAGTGGCAAGAATGATAGGATGAGTGTGTTTGAAGTCAGAGAGAGTATTCTCATATTAATAGCAGTGTGTCTTTAACAATTTTTAAAAATTTAATCATTCATTGTATAATTTAATCATTCATTGTATACTTTGATCATTGTATATATCCTTTGGTATTTACATGGAGGTCTTAATAGTAAACATTTTTAGGTTCAGAAGTCTGAAAATATCTTTATTTTGATCTCATTTAGGAGTGAAACCTTAACAGGCTATAAAAAGCTGAAATAACAGTTATGTCTCATTAGCACAGA